AACCCCACTAGTGCAGCTGACTTGCTCAGCTGTTGGCTGGGCTGTGGGCACAGTCAAGTGAACTCCTGGGGTCTGTCCAGAAAGTAAGGGGTGTGGCCCCGACAGCTGAGCCCAGGGAACTAGTGCCAGGAAGAAAAATGGTCATAGGCATGACTGGAAAATCGAAGCCCCTGTACTGTAAAAAATAACAAAATAAGTTTACATTAGAATGATAAGAAAAATGATTCAGTGTTACCTGAACTGGGACATCTTGGAGTAAAAGATCTTTCCAGGGGTCCTCGGAGAAGACCTGATGCCATGTCTCAGGGAGAGAAAAAAACGCAAATACTTATTTTCCTTTAACCCAAAAGTGGGGATGCTTTTAAACTCTGAAAGGACAGAATAGCTGGATTAGAATAGCTCTAATTGGCCCAAGGGTGACCTCTGGAACAACAGAAAAGAGCAATTACCATTCACAGGAAGAAGTCGAGTCCATATTTATTCTCGAAATTATAAGAAATGCAAGGAAGACGTCCTTAAATACAAAAGAAGAAAGATCACAATAGAGGCAGCCTGACTTTATTAATTTTTAACAATATTTTGCTTTAGGTTGTGTATGCTTGCAGGACAGAGAGACAGAGACAGTGAGAGGGAAAGCAAGAAATCACTCCCCAGAAGGGGTGGCCAGCACTCTCCTCCATTCTCTTCCATTCTCCTGGGATCTTTAGCACACATGCACACGCACTTGGCATGAGTTTCAAGTCACCTGGTCCAGAACTCAAACCACAATGGACCATGTGGGAGTCCAGTCACGTAACCACTACGCCACCTGCTGGCCGCTCGGGTTTATTAACTTTAACAAGAGGACTGCGGAGTCTGGAAATCTTACCTTTATTCCATGTGTAAGCAACAGTGAGGTAGAGGCGCACCTTGGTTTCTCAGTGGGGAAGAATGGCCGCAGAGAACGCTGACGGCCAAAGTTCCCTGAAAGGCTCAGGGGACACCAGCTTCTGGAGTGGGTGGGGGACTTGGGCACGCTGAAATGGAAATAAGTTTCAGCTCGAAGAAATGCAAGAGGATGGCTCGCCAAGGCTAGTGGGTTACCCCCGCTGCTGGGGAATGCTGCACTGGAGCCCACTCTGGGCAGAGGCAAGCTCCAGGAGACTAATCACAGAAAAGGCCAGTGGCTTATGACAGACCAAAACAGTCCACCAAGGTTTGGACGCCTCCTGTCTCAGGCTTTTTGGACAAGGAGCCTGGGAGCTAGCCGCCAGGGCCAGTGTGGCCCGCGTCATCCACTCACCCACGGGAGTCCTGCCTTCCTTTGGGCCTCGGCCCCAGCTGGCAGGCAACCCTGGGCCTCCCACTCCTACCCAGTAGGACTTCCCATTGCTGCAGCCCCCTCAGCACCACCCCGCCCTGTCCCCACTCCCTGGGCCCTGCTGTGCCCCCTGGTCTGGAGTTACTTCATCCCTGCCAGCCACTACCCACTGGGCTTGGCAGCTGGCAGACTCGTCCAGTTCTGCGGGGAGGGGGTCTCCACGGCATTCTGCTCCTCCTCCAAGACTGCGGCAGGGCAGGGCGCACACAGCGGCCCACTCGGGGAGTACCTGTGCGGGAAGCCTTTTCGTTCCCATTAGTGATAAAATCGGGTCCAAAAGGACATGTAAAGATGGTTCTGGAAGACCCCCACCTTGCATTCCGGACCGCCTGCTCCTACCAAGCCCGCTCGGAATCCCGGGTAGGACCAGCATAGGGGCTTGGAGGGGCCCACCTTTCCGAGGAGGTTGGGGTCAGCGAGGCGGGAGCGCCGACCTACAGGGGGAGGGGCACCCACACCTGTGCGCTCCGAGGATTGGGACAGCGGCGGTGGCGACGGGAGGAGACCGGGCCCGCGGGATGCAAACCCACAGCGCTGCGGGGAGACAGAGACACACAGAGAGCGAGACCCGGGCGAAGCACAAACAAAGCCAGCCCGCGCGCGGTCCGGTCGGCCGCACAGCACCCGGGCGGCGGCGGCGCACTCGGGCGGCGGCCCTGCGGGGGAAGCCCCCACCCAGGTTGGGCGCGTCACCTCGCCCACCCTGCCCCGGCAGCCATCCTCCGACTGGCTCCCGCCCCGGCCCCGCCCCCCCCCCCCCCCCGCCGAAAAAAAAACCCTGCCCCGCCGCGACGCTGGGCGCCGGGAGCTGGCCGTGGTGCTGAGCGCGCGGCTCGGCCCTGGTACAGCCGCGCCCTGTGACACTCCTGGTTCCCAGCGGTAAGTCACTGCCCAGGCCCCCAGAGGCTGTGTTGGTCCCTGCCAGGAGGCTGTGGGCTTCTCGGGGAGCGGGGAGATTGGGGAGTGTTTGTGCGTTCTTTGGAGCGAGAGGCCGGCTGAGTGGAGGAACCAGAGTCGGGGCCCTGTCCACCCCGCTGTGCCAGGCGTGGATGGTGCGGTGTCCTGGTCTGGGGACGGTGACCCTTCTAGATTGGGCTAGGGAAGGGGAGAAGCCATGCGCCCACGGAGCTGGGGCCTGGGGAAG